AATGAAATCGAAAAGTGCTCGCGACCATCTTGGCACCTGTCCATGAAATCGACAAACAGAGAACAAAAAAATCATAATCTGACCTATGACACATTCAAACAAGAATAAATCCAAAATAAAACATCAACAAAGCCACAAATATAAAAGCAAAAAAGAAATATAAAATTGGACGGAAAACTACAGTAAGTTTGACTTTAGTCACCGTGTTTTTTACCATTGGATCAACGCAAACGCACACATCCAACGGGTGGAAAACCCGATTACTACACTACAGACTGTATATCAAGTGTTCGATCCTTTGCCTGCGTGAAATAAAATTCCATTCTTTTTTTTTTTCATTTTCAAATGTATATCAGTGTTCGATCGGTTGCCTGCGTGAACAATATGACTATGAGCTTTTAGTTTTAGCTGAGGAATGATTTGAGATGAGAAATGAGAATCATACAGAAGAGGAGTTTCAAATGGTCCGGATAAATATTCTCTGTAATGGAGGACAAAAAATTGGCACCAAAAAATGGCGAAATTAGTGACTGGGCCTCTAAAGACTGAAAGGGCACGGCCACTTCTTTCATTGGGCTGAGAACAAGGCCTGTTTATTTGGGGTCCATTAAGAAAAGTTGAAGGTCGCATATAGGAAATGGGCCATAGTTAGTACTTATATCCGTATATAGTAACTGGAAGACATACGGAGATTCCAATCATGCAAGCTCAACTGCTCAAGTGAGCACTCATTATATTTAATAAATATATATATTCTTAATAAATTTACACTCCTCTCTTTGTAGTGTTTTGTAACTATTAAACTATAGAATTAATTAATAAATTTATACATAAAGAAAAAAAAAAAATGTTTTTATATGAGTCATGTGTTCATATTATTATCATGCTTGTTCTCATGCATTTTATGTTTCATTTTCTTTTGTCATGTCTCAATAATATCATCATGTGAGATGAAGCCGTCATGCTCCATCATAAAAGGACCAACTCAAATGATAATTCATCCTGACCAAGTTGAAAAAAAAAAATAAAATAAAAAATCAATGATTTGAAACCCATAATTACTTAGATACGAAGAATAAATATCAAAGAGTCACAAAATTTAAAAAATGATGAGAGGAAAGCAAAACAAAGTTATAGTGAACGGTTCGGCTTGTGGGGAAGGCGTATTCTATTATTTTAATATTTTTTAAGTTTGTTATGTGTTTGTTGAGTGTTTCTTTTGGTGTTATTCTCGTAATGAGTTTCATAAATAGATAACCCCTAATATGCTCGTAATGAGTGAACCCACCAGCATTACTCAACCACATAATTGGGCCTTTTTTTCATGCGCTACATAGGGGAAAGTATACAACAATGACGAGTCCAATCAATGTTAACNTCAATTTCAAATTTCAATTGTGAGATTTTTTAGAACTGCCCTCACAAGTATATGGGATCCACCCCGATGGAACACATTCTATATTAAAATCACATAATTATATTTTTTTTTTTTTTAAATGAATAAAATTGGCCTACTTATTATGCCCCAAGAATATGCTACGTGAGGCGCTTTTACTTATTGAAAGGTTGAAACAACTTTATAAGCCGAATTGAGTAGCATTTTGATGTCTGTCTACTTTGGTCCACACATGAGATATTTGATATTTCACTTAAAATACTGTTTTCTATACTGTTGGATATATGGACAAATTGGAAAGAATGTTAGTTAGATATTTGCCCCTCTTCCGCTAATATATGAGCATAAATTTTATTGTCTTCACAATGTCTAAAGATTCAACCGTCACACTTTTTTAAATGAATTACATATAAGTGAAATGTTATGTTTTTGTTTAAATTGTTTATTAAGCGTGACATTCAAATATGAAAATATACATATTTTATCTAATTGTTATATCTAGAGGACTAACTAATATTAATTGTTAAAAAACTTATTTATACTCAAAACATTAAACTAGTCCATTGAGCTGTTTTAATTCATATTAGACAATTTTAAAAACATTCAATCTCGTTTCAATTGTGAGTCAAATCAAATTCAAGAAACCTAATAAAAGGGNACATAAATTTTCAATAAATGCCAGTGTTGTAAACGGCTAGAGGTTTTCAACTTTTAGTTAATGCCAACTATAAATTGTTAGGCAGAAAATACACGGGTAACCTGAGAAAAGCAAAAAACAACTCAAAAAGACAAGTTTTTTTTCTGAAAAAAAAGAGCAAACCATTAACATAGCCCAAAGGGAACAAAAATGTGAAGATGAAAAAGAAAAAGAAACTTCACAACCACTCGGAACTTTCCAAAACCACGCTGTATTTATTGTGTACTGCTAAACTTCTGCTCCATCATATGGCACGCCTTAATCAAAGCTTTTGGAAAACGATGCTACAAAATTAAAAGTTGGTATAAAAAGAGATATTTAGAGGCAATTGCAAAAGAAACCCTGAGGTTTGGGGTATTTAGTATTTAACCCCTAAAAGAGCCAAAAATTCTTGAAATTCACTATTGCACCTATTGGGATCACACCTTTTATCTCTTTATTTGAGTTGTAAACAAGAAGTTCATAAAATTACATAAAAACCCTTATTCAACAATCTTTAGCAAACCAAGCTCGAGCTCTGCTCATTTATCAGAGCTCACGAGTAGCTCGTTTATTGAACAATTGTGCTATTTCATAAACAAATATACTTATGATGCATCTTCATATTCTTACAAATGTTAAAGTTACATCAAAATAATGATAAATTTTTAAAATCCTTCGTTTATTTTTTTCTTCGGTAAATAGGTCGAAAATAAGGATAACCTATGCTTGAAAATGAAACATCTCAAAGAAGAACACAATTGGGATCACACAAGCTTTGCAACTTGGTTAACAACTTAAAACATATGAGTTTCTTGTTTCTATACAATCTATGATTTTGTCCAACAAAAGGGGCAGTAGAATAACTCCACATAAAGGAAGCACCAAACCAAAACAGAAAAAGAGCTTCTACAAGCACACCTTCTTCATGCACCTCTGCAAATTTTCACCCAATTTCAACACCAAAAACCATGATAGCACGAGTAAAACTGCTAACACTCGATTCCCAATTAGGCCGGCAAGAACAATTACACATAGAACACAAGGTTTACAATTAAGTCCTCCACCTTTGATTTCTTCTCCTTTTTCTCCCCTCTTTGATATTAGTTCGCATGAAACACGATCAACAATTGTGTTGTCATCAACCTCTTTGTATTCTCGGCTAGATACAAAAGTCGATGAGATAAAGTTAGTATCTTCTCTAACAATCCCAACAACACTTTGTTGCCCGTGTTCTTTTCTTCCGCCGCCTTTTAATTTTTTCGGGACGAATCTCTCCATCTTCATTTTTAACTTAAACTTCCTTAACTTTCTCTTCGAATCATCTTTCTCAATCGAGTCGAATTCAATTTCTTGATGCCCAAAACTCGCCTCGTGAGAAGACCCTTCTTCTTCAATTATCTCATCATCATCCTCAGGCTGAATTTCATCCAATACATGCTTAACCAGATACCCATTCGACTCCACAACTTGAATCCCTTCTCGATTTTCATGCCTCGATAAAACTGGTGGCTTTATCGAATTATCTTGCTCCATCTTAATAACCTCTATTAATCTCAACAGCCTCAAAACCCCAAATAATGTGCTTTTCAAAGCCCCTTTTGCCTGTGAACAGGGTTTCAACACTACGCTTGAGTGCTTACACGCATATTCAATGAAACACAAGAGGAATGCCGATATTGTGAACCCAATAGTCAATCTCTTTGTCCCCAAAGCTAAAACCACGATAAAGAACATTTTCACAACCAACAATAAAACTTTATTCACATCAAGACTGTACTCGGCAACACATTCCCCACCATCGAAAACATTGTTGTTCGATCTCGTCATGAGATTCTCGACTGGAACCTCACGAGGCCGAGGCAGGGGCTGGGGCGAATTTGGGGGAACTCGTGGGGGAGGAAACCCAATCGCCGGCGGAATCTCCGGCGACGCAGAACGGTAAGAGGCGTCTGATCCGGCGATCGGGGGATCGCGCGGCCGGTTCTTCCTCTTGGACGGTTTTTTCAATTTCTCGCGATTTTTTATGAAGAGATCGACGAGGGAGGTCGGGAACCCGGTCTCGACGACGAGCGACGACACGTCTCGCCGCTTCTGGGATTTGCTGAGATGATCGTTCACGAACTGTGAAATCCTCGCTGTCTTCACCTTCCTCCATGGCAGGTGCATCTTTTTGGTGCCGCTGAAAAAACCCCTGAAAAAAGGGTTCTCAGAGGAATCGAGGCTCGAGGGCTCTGAAAAAAAAAAAATCGATAACCGAAAGCGGTTCCTTAGAATTCCACGCGCCGGGTCGGAATCTCTGAGAAAAATTCCATCTTGAAGTTTTTTTTTTAAAGAAAAAAACTGAAATTATTTCCTGAAAAACGCGTTCTTGACAGATGAAAGTGGAAAGCTTTTTGGGAAGACTGAAAGGGGTTAAAAATTCGGTTCCTTGATATAAAAAGGGCAAATTTTCTGCGCCTACTCCTAATTGGGGAAGGCAGAAACCCTAATTGGGGAATTTGTGAGGACTGAGGAAGAAGAAAGGGGTTTTTAATGTGGCGAGCACATATAATTTAGACGCGTGTGAACTGCTTCAACTGTTTAGAATAGACCCTTTAATTTGACGGAAATTTGTTTTTACTTGTGGAAATTAATTGAAATCTTGTTTTTTATGTGATTATACATGTGGTTTAGACAAAACACAAAACCACTAGAGTTTTTGATGTGTGTGTATGTAATTTCGAAACAATATTTATAGACTTTAAATTTGTATATAGGAATGAATTAAGTGAAAATTATTATATTTATTTTGTAACTGCAAATTTAATTTATTTAATTTAAATTTTAGAAAGAAATATAAAGGCTAAAATCATTTGTAGAAGTGATTGGCTGATATTTTATGTTTTTATTTTGTATTTTTTTACTAAGCAACTATTAGAATTTTAGAGATTATTTGACACTCCAATATATTGTCTCTTTCAATTAACCAACTCGATTGAATAATTACTGGTGGAACGTCACATCAAGCCATGTAATTTTGGATTTTTTTGTATTGAGATTTGAGATTGTGTTATATTATTGGGTATGTTTCAAGGGGTGTATGATATGATTCTAAATAATATTGATTTCGACTTAAAGATTTTTATTTTTTTTAAGAATAATATTGACTGATATATATAGTCATCCAAAAGAAGTGTATGATATTCTTCTAATATTTTCTTTTAATGTAATTCAACAGTGGAAATATATATTGCACAGTATTTTTTTAAATATGGTTGGTGTTATTTTTTCTAATGGTGGGTTTGGTTTGTCCATGGTAGCGGAAAGTTATATATTTTTCTCATAATTCAATATTTGTTTGGAAATATTTTGTAAATGCGTATATCAACTTTACATAGCGTGAAACTTGGTTTTGACATTTTTCCTAAATAAATACATAAGATTCACAAAATCACAATGGAAATTAACTTAATTTTACCTCTTTTTTCTAGAAAACATGGGAAAATAATAAGAGTGAGGACTGAGAAATGAGAAAGTTTGAGACAACCCCAGCGCGTGCTCTTTTGTGGCACATTTTTTTTTTTATTTATTTTTACTTAATAAGACTTACAAATTATAATTCATTTTACATTAGTGCCTTTAGTGGAGCAGAAAGACAATGGGGAGTAAGAAGGACGCAAAGCTTTTTCAAAGCCATGCCAAACACGTGTCTGTTTAAAATCATGTTGTTTTGATACTCTGTTTTCAAGGCGTGGATCAAATGTTTCTCATGCTTGAGTAATGAATTAGTTGAACTTGAAAGCGATTGTAAAATTGAACACTAGCAATTTACAAGCACTGGCCCAAGAATAATCTAGTTGGATTGCTTGTTAGACATTTAGCCCAATACCTGAAGTGTAATCATCATGGCATAGGCCCATTAAAGATAAATATGATTAGTGATTAACAGGCCCTTATTATATATCTTGTACACTTTTTACAGCCCACAAGTGTAGCCCTCATTAGTCAAGGCTCAAAGATAACTTGATCTGAAGATACAAGAAACCGGAAATTTTCAATTTTTATTAATTCGAAGTTATTTTCAGCGAATGAGCCACTCAAAATACGCCATGAAATAAGAAAAAAGAAGAAAAAATGTTTTGAAAGTTGAAACATAGGTCCAACTAGTATATAATTTCCAAATAGCTGGTAAAATTTCATTTCATTTTATTATTCTGTTCATATCAATGTTCTAATCTACAGGCACATTTGCCGAAAGAGAGCTTTTAAGTTACTGAAAAATGGTATAATTCGAAGGATTATTGCCATGCTATGATCTTAAAGAATAGTTTGCAAAGTTGTTCTCCAAAAGGAAAAGGAAAAAGATGAAAAAACAAAAAATGACAATCGACTCAGATCGATAACAAGCAAAGGAACTTTCAACGTTGAATATGTATNCTGCATGGTTATATCCTGGAAAACCTGCAACCTGTTCCTCCTTTTTATCGATTTATCCGAACTAATTTCCGGTGATAGCATTATTAACTCATTATTATTACCTACAAAGCTCAAAACTTTCGTCGATAATGGTGAAGAATTGTTATTATTATTCTCTGTTCCCAGCTGAAGATTCTGATCGAAACACAACGAACGCCTCACGGTTAGGTTCGTGGCAGCTTTACTACTCGGTTGAGTGAAATATCCACTACCAATATCAACCATCTTCAATTCCTCACTTAATTTCTCAGCTTGATCGAGCAATCGATGATTAGGGGTCTCAAGGATAATAATGTTCGAGTCCCGATTTTCATCATTTCCCCACTTTTTTCCAAACTTTTTCTCTTCTTCCTCAACCATATCAGCCCAACTCATTTTCAGATCCTTTTTTTCGTTTTCTGTAGAAGTCATATGAAAGTTCATACCTTTCTCAATCTTCTTCATGGTACGCGTATTTTCACCACCAGTAAACGAGCCAAATGTCAATTTACGACAAAAAGTCTCGTTCGGGTTCAGCCTGGGCTGTGTAAATGGAACTTTCGGGATAACCCGGCCCATAAAAGGAGATTGTTGGCCCGTATGGAGTTGTTTATTGTTCTTTCTCCTCCAATCAAAATCAGCCCTTTTCTCATATGGAAATTCAGTGAAGGCCCGATTATTCATTTTCTCCACAGTTGAAGGCAATGGAGAAGAGCCTGACTGTAAAATATCACCACAAAAGGGCTTTGTTCTTTTATTTGCATACCCTTCTTGCTGAGATTCGAACTCGAGCAGCATTTGAGAGGCACGTTCGTATGACTTAGCGTATGATTCATCCATACAAATTCCGTTTTCGGACGAGACCCGAATTGCTTGGAGCAAAAATCGAGCTTCGCTCAGCTTGTTCAAGTACATTAGGCATATGGCTAAGTTGCACTGCTTGTTCTTGTCTGATTCAAATGAGAGTGCTTTCCTGCATCATCAGTAATAAAAAGAAAGAACAATAATCTTGGTTAAATTATGTATTTCTTGAAAAAGAATATAAAAAGAAAAAAAGGATGATACCTGTAGTTTTCTTCTGCAGATTTGAAGTCATTCTGTTGCATGTAAGCCCAAGCTAAGTTCCCTAACAGCCTGCAATTATTTTATATAAAGAAGAAAAAAGATCATTTCATTCAAATTTTCCAAATAAAGAAAAAGAAGTGAACAAGTGAATTTGTTCTGTTTAAGTATACAAACCTCGAATACTCTTTCTCGACCGTGACCTGAACTTTCTTCCCTTGAGATCTCGCTATTTTCGTTCTCTTCCCGCCAAAAGCCATTCCTTCTTCCACCCGCTTCAGTTTTATCTTAAGCATTTCAATCTCCTCCTCTGTTCGGCCAGATTGCTACATTCAGCAATTAGAATTAAAATTTTCAATCTTTTTCTATTATTCCACCGTAAAAATCACTTTTAAATATTAAAAATCATAATCCGGAGGAATTATTATACTCATTCACCTTATAAAGCTCGAGTAATATGTTGTCGAGAGATTCTTGAGAGTCGAGCGGACAAAGATTTCGGAAGGATTTGATGGCTTCAATGGCCTCGTCTGATCGATCCAACTGTTTCATTACAACTGCCATGTCTTTTAAGGCACTATCCACTCTATCACCCGAATTTATAGCTGCCCAGAACAAGGAAATAGCCCTGCTTGGATCCTTGTCTATCAGCTGCTCAATTTTCAAACACATTTTTCGAGAAGTAAATCAGTAACCAACACAATAATCACATATTATTATTACACACCCCAGTTTTATCAAATATCCCAATTTCTACATTTAACATATTATATAATACAAGTGCTTAACCACAACGAAGCACACACAAAAATCCACACAAAATCCTCGTCTATTTTCAGCTGCTTCCTTTTTTTTTCACACACAATTTTCCAGAAGTAAATCAGTAACCAACACAATAATCACATATAATTACAATTTACACACCACAGTTTATCAGAAACCCCAAGTTCTACATATAACACATTATACAAGTGCGTAACTTCAAAACCCATAACGAAGCACACACAAAAATCTATACTTGAGCGAAATAAAGAGGGCAAAAATAGGAAAAAATAGAGATTCAAGAATTGGGATTATTTTATAAGAAACAAGAAGATTCATAAAAGGGCCGGCGGATATTTTTCACCTGAACGTGTTTTGCTCTGACATACGGCGAGTCGCCGGAAGGGACCTTGTGGATGACGTGAAAGAGATCGCTTTTCGGCAGCGGCGACGGCCTCCCCGGCTTCCTCTCCGACGCGGGCATCGCCGGAAAACACCGACTCGCCCTCCCGGACGGCGGCGGCGTCAGGAAACCTCTCGGCTGAGAAAAATACTCGCCCCCCTGATGATTAAAATCGTTACAGGTAGACATTTTGCTCTTTTTTTTTTTTCGTGAGAACGCGTACAAAATCTTTGCTTTTTGGAGCGGAAAAATTTTACGGCCGCCACGCAGAAATGGGATTTCGATTTAGCAAAAAGAAAATGTTTTCTTGATTGAGATAGAAATTGAACGGAAAAACTCAGCGGAGAAAATAGCTCTCTGTGCCCGCCGGAGAGTGGGAAAAGAGAGTCATCATCAGTATGGAAAAGGGGCGACTAGCCGTTATATAAAGTGTCCGTTGGTATCTAAACGGCGTCTCCTTTTCTCTTTTACTTTTTTATTTTTTTTTTCATTGTGGGTTTCTATTTATTTATAGAAATTCGAAATTATTTGATTTGTTTGCTTCTTATAAATTCTATTATTTTAAAAATAACTTTTGGGAAAAAAATCAGATTATGTTTTTATAAACTGCACCAAAATTGACAAATAACTCGTAATAATAATAGATACTATAAGTCTATAATGTATTAAGATTTGCAATTTATATTGTTCTAATTCTTCCATTAAATTGTGATCTCAATCTTGTGTAGTTGTTTTCGCAACATTTAGTTCACCCTTCAATTATCATTATTAAGATGTACTCCAGTAATTTGATTATCAAAATATTCGACAGAACTCCCATTTCGAATCACGAATCGAACCCAATTGCAAACAATATAATTTGCACACAAACAATATCAGCATCATCTCCTATTTCAAATCACGAATGGAATCAGCTTGTCTAATATAGTTCAATTCTGAAATTGTTGAACTATATACTCAGTGACATTATTCAATTAAGAAGATATTGTCCAAAATTTTCTTATAATTAAATATCAAATCCTCTATAGTTGAGAAGAAGATATGTATAAATCAACTCAAGACATTGTTTAATCAGAACAAGACAATGTTCATAGTCATGATTTATTAATGTATGATTTTATATCCTTCTATATTCTTTAAATCCCATGCTTCAGCCTTTATTCAATTTGGTCGAAAAATTAAGATTTCATTCGATCCAAATTTGATACGGATGTTCCACGAATTTCCTATCAAGCTGTCGAACGGTGAGAAGAAATTACAGTTCATCCTTGCCTGAAAAATAATGCCGGAAAACGCACGAGAAGTCCTTTGCTCCGAGACCTTCATTGCAAAGTTCAGAAAATCTGCATAACAATAATAATAATAATCGAGCAGATAAATAAGTACGATTTGGAAAAAAAGAAAACGAAATCGACAAAATCTCATTAGCCACTAAGAGAAAAAAAGGTAAACTCACATCTCGTCGGCTAAAAAGGTCATTGGGGTTTTGGCGCCGACACCTTTAGCTGATGCCGTTGCAAGGTTCAGATCTTTAGCCTACACATTAACAAATATTTACAATGAAAATGTATTGACAGGCAATTAATTTACTCATCAAAATAACTTAATGTAACTGTACAAAAAAATTTTGAACCAGATATCATACCATTAGTTTGGTGGCAAAGCCGCCGTTATAATCCCTAGATGCTGGCACACCATTCATCACTCCGGGCACCGGATTATAAGTATCACTGAAGAAAATCGATTATTTTAGGTTATGTTTGGTAAAACTAGCTGAGAAGTTAGCTTATAAGTTTTAAGTGAATTTCGAGTTTATAATTGATAGCTTAAGATAAAAGTGTTTGGTAAAATTAGCTGATAAGCTAGTTGAAATAAAAATTTCAATGGACTTATTTGAAAAGCTACCAAATGAAGCTCATGAGATAAGCTCGAACTTTTTAAAAAAGTTCGTCTTTACCAAACGAAGCTTATTTGAATATATGAAGCTTGTAAAGTTAATCAAATAAGTTATAAGCTAGTTTATATACTTACCAAACACACGTGAATAATTGCCCCTCAAAAGTCCCCGGTAGTACGTGTCGTGCAAATTTAGGTAGAGATATTTGCAACTAGTTTATTTCACCATAGTTCGGTTTTAGTTATCCGTTGTTCCTTTTTTTTTTCTTCTTCTTCTTCTTCTAACACTTTGCCCGTATAGCAGAAAGAAATTCTCAGACATATATAGCAAATTACCTGCTCCAACATCGAGCACTTGACGAGTTGAATATCTTGGTTAAAGTCGTGGCTGTAATGCCCAAAGACTGCCCGAGTGCAAAGGCTTCCGAGACCCCAAGCATACTCACGGCCATAGCCAAATTATTGCAAATCTTAGCTGTCTGGATTATATAATATGTGTATTAGAATCTTTTTTATGATGAAGACTAGCATTACTTTACTGGTATTGATCTTCTAATCATCTCAATTCTCAAGTTAGAAAACAACAGCGAAAGCAAGGCACACATATTTCTATGAAGGTAGCAATTTAAGTCTCACTGGAGAGTCATATAGCAATTTAAATCCTGTAACTTAATATTTTACAGCAATTTCAGTTCTCTAACCATTAAAATTTCCAATTTTGACGGTCAAAAGAACTGACATTGCAACAAAATTTAAATTACATGACTTAAATTGCGAATCAAAAATATAAATTGGGAATTTTGACGGCCAGAGAACCGAAATTGTAGCTAAATTTTAAATTAGAAGACTTAAAATGCTATATGCCACTCTATTGAGACCTAAATTGCTGCCTTAATAATCTATTACGACCAAATTTGCAATTTAGCCAAGAACTTGTCTTCCAGACTTATTTAATTCTGGGCTAGAAATTACAGCAGGTTCGGTTTTTCTACCACTGGAAAAAACATAAAATGAAAAAAAGAACTAGCTCACCGAGCCATTTCCGGGACCACCACAGTAAATGACGTTTTTGCCCATCGAGAGAAACAAAGGTTTTGCAAGCCTATAGGCTTCCTCTGAGCCGCCAACCTGAAATATATTAGAAAATTCATCTTGTTTCGTGGGGGGTAACAAAAATAAATTCGAAACGAAAAAGGATGTCACATGCGAGGATTAAAAAATAAAATTGGAAGAAAAACCGACAAAAGAAAACAAGATTAGAGCTACCATAAAAGTGAGTGATCCACTTTCAGCTGATAGAACACCTCCGGATACAGGAGCATCCAACATAAAACGGCCTATATAAGTGAATATATATAATCAGTAGTTTTCTAAAACGAAATAGTACTATTATGTTAGCAGAATATATTTGGCAAAAAATATTTATGAAATCTGAGTGTTTTTTTTTTATGTTACTGAAGAAAATAACAAACCGAAAAAAGAAAGCGAACAAATTACAATTTCCTCCACCTTCCTTTGTATTAGATACAGCTGCCGAAACTTTTCGCGATGTTTGAGGATCAATAGTAGAAGAATCTATGAACAAAAACGATCTAAGATCCTCGCCATTAAGCATACCCTTAGGCCCCATGTAAACATCTGTCACCTATAAATTTAAGCAACACGAGAAATATTATTGACTACTAATTGATTCGAAACTGCTTTGTAAAGCAATAAAAAAACGTGCCTATTAAGGAAATAACAACATGCTTCAATCATTACACACTGGATGATATTAAGTATAAGATGAGTCAGCAAATGCCGGTCGATTTGAAAGCTTACATGATTGGAAGATGGCAACATAGTAATTACAGCATCACTTGCTTCAGCAACTTCAAGAGGTGAATTCTTTGTAAGAATGCCTTTCTCAGAGAATTTGGCCATAACATCATGGTTTCTGTATCACGCTAAAGGACGTAAATGCCCCCACAAAAATTTTTAAACCAAGATTACAAATTTTCGACCACATCAAAAGGAATTCTTAAGCTAGAACTCATCAGTCTTTCGAAACATGTTTTTAGCCAACTCTATCATCATCTTTGAGAATGACGGTTTACATATTCAAATGATTTTCAAAATTAAGCCACATATAATAGAGGTGAAGAATATACAATTATATTAAACTGAATAAGAGATTAGAACCAAAAAAAACATTACACATCATGAACCACAACATTGTATCCCGCTTTAATCAAGTTATTTGCCATGCGGGATCCCATATTTCCCAGTCCTATGAATCCGACCCTCTGCAATGTATCAATAAATCAGCTCAACAGAAAACACGAAAATTAAGAATAAAAACACAACAGGGAACAAGAAAGTTGGGATACGTCAAGCTATTATAAGACGTGGACATAAACAAACGGTCCAATTATGATGCAATTTATACTAAATTGAACCTTTATGGATTATGGAACTAACAAATTTAACATATTTCAGCAAGATTTAAGAACAAACCAATCTATCCAAGATTAGAAGTTCAGATCAAAGAATCAGTGCAAGAAAATTTGGCAAATGGAGAATCTGTAACTTTTATAATTCCATTGCTTCAGTTTGTCTATATTTTTGTTCTGTGTCAAGCTATCAATTAGATTCATTCTCAAACTGGCAGCACTGATTAATTAATCCACATTCTGAAATAACGACCCATAAGAAAAGCAGAACGCAAAGTTGGCTAAATTTAATCTCATCACTTCAACACCAACAAGAAATCGAGCATCTTTAAGAAGAAAATTAAATTAACAAAAAAAAACATCTTTTTTTAACTTAGACTTTTCTCTGCCAATTCTACCAAGAGACTGGAGAAAAAAATAAAATCGTGCTTTAAGAAGGTGAAATACGTTTGCAGTTGCTAAATACCAAAAGGGGTAACAAGGATTTGAGCAGCCTAGGAAAAGCCGAAAAGCAAAGGGCAACCAAAAAAAAAAAAGGAAAGGAAAAACATAAACCCACTTCGAATCGAGATGAAACTGGTGACGAGCAAAACATGCGAGCCCAAGAAAAATACGATGATGAAAAAGAGGAGATTTTGGGGCAGCCATTGTTAAGTGACAGCAGATATCTCAGTTTGCAGCTGCTTCCAGTGACCATTATATTCAGAGAGATTTTTTTTTTTTACTTTTTTGTTTTTTGGTTGAGGATGAGTTTTGAGAAGACATCTTTATTACACGCGCCTAATATATGGGATTTTCTCCGGTACCGAACTTAATTAATGCCTTGCCTAATGTATGTGTTTTACTTTTACTACAGCGCTAATTTGGTCTCTAGGAATAATGCTCCTTCTCCCGTTTTTAGAGTTTTTCTGTGTAATCGTAATATTATTTTGTAGAAGTGTGTGGAAATCTAAAAGATTGCTGCCTTTCAAGTTTCAAGCCAACTAATTATGTCATAACAACTGATAAGCGTTAAAAGATCAATCTCTAATTGTCGATAATATATTATTTGAAGAACATCATTTTCAAGCAATCTCTCATATTCAAACTTATGAACATGAAAGAAAAGTATATTCTAACAATGTGTAATCCTTATTTTTACAGCTTATCATACTTTGTTCCTCATATAGTTCTAAGGAAATATTTCATGTTTGATTAGAAAGAAAAGAGCTTCAACTTTGAGCCTCAACAAACCAACCAGCCAAGAGGACCTCATCAATTGGAAGGGAGAAAGCTGTTATACATCAACACATTCCCAATTTACAACAAAACAATTCCAAAAACCACACTTAATCTTAATAGCAGTACACTTCCTAGTCCAACTACTAAACAAAAAAAAAGAGAGAGAGAAGAGGAAGATCAATGAGGTAATTGATTCCCCAATTCACAATCACAAGCTTAATTTTCTTATCTAAAAACAAAAAACAAAAACAAACTAAATCGACGAAAGATCCTCGTAAATGGTCTTAATCCCCGGCCTTTCGGACACCGAACGAACACATCGAAGCGCAATCCCGAGCACTTCCTTCATCCCTTTATCCACCAAAGGCACACTCATCTCATGGCCCAATGCAGTATCAAAGCATTCCGAACCACGGGCCTCGGCCACCCGCAGCCTAACCCAATCAGTAAGCCCAACTCCTCCTTCCGAGCCCGAAACCACATCGCCAGCACATTTTCCGGTGAGTAGCTCGAGCAAAATCACGCCAAATGCATACACATCAGACTTGAAAGAGGGCTGTGGCTTCTTGGATGAGACAAGCTCGGGAGCCCGATAGCCAAGAACTCCAGCATCGAGAATTTGCTCGATGGTCCCTAATTGGGTCATTAGTCGGTGGAGGCAATAATCCGCCACGCGGGCGTTTAAGTCGGGCCCATCGAGAAGGATATTGGTGGACTTGAGGTTGCCGTGAGGAATGGCTCGGTCGAAATGGAGATAGTTGAGGCCACGTGCAATGTCGACTGCGATTTTGAGACGTTGGGCCCAAGTCAAGGGCGGGCCTTTTCTTCCGGGTCGATCTGAAAATAAACGGTTAACTTAGTTAGAAAGGAATGGAATTTGATGTTGTGATATATTCATGCATTATTTTATTTAAAGGCTGTGGCTTCTGCAAGTTATTTTGATTCGAAGAATTGGATCGAGTCAATTACCAAAATCACTCATTTTTTAATGAAGCAACAGTGGAAGGTTTTCTTTAGAGGGATGGCGATAGGTATTTGCCAAAAATTTCAAAGTTCACACTACGGAAGCTTTAAGGCTATTTTCGGTAACTAAATAAGCTAGCTTATAGCTTATTTGGTCAGCTTCATGTATTCAAATAAGCTCCGTTTGGTAGAACGAGCTTTTTAAAAAAACTCGAGTTTATCTCATAAACTTCTTTAGATAGCTTTTCAAATAAATTCTTTTATTTTAGCTAGCTAATTTTAAAACACTTTTTATCATATAAGTTAGCTTTTCAGTTATAAGTCATAAGCTCGAAACTCACTTATAAGCTATCAACTAGTTTTATCAAACATATCCTTAATCCACAAAACAAATGCAGAATGATGGTTTGAGAACCTCTTTATATGCAGAGTTTTCCACAAATGTGAACTTACTCAGAAAATATCAAATTAACTTTAACGACTACCTACGCCTATTATATCTTCATGTTCAAACAAGTTCCATAAACTTCGACATGAAAACCAGATAGAACCGAACTCATGCATAGCCGAGAAAGATGAACAGAAAATGAAAACATTTAAATCACATATAAATTAAAAGGAATATAGTATATTGCACAAGAACTGAGTCAAAAGGAATTTACCATAGAGAAAACTCGCGAGACTTCCCGGAGAAATGTAATCCGAAAGAATCAGCTTCTCGTGCTGTGTGGGCCCCCAATAGTACCCTCTCAATCCCACCACATTCGGATGTCTGATATTTGAGAACTTCTTAGCTTCCTTCGCGAATTCTTTTCTCTGCTTTGCAACACCTTCCCTCAACCACTTCACAGTCAAAAAAACGCCGTTTTCAAGAGTCGCTTTATAAGAAGTCCCGTGACTGCTCCTTCCGAGCACTTCTGCCGGAGCCCTCGAAAGTTCCTCGGCCGTGAACGAAACCGTGTCATCAAGAAAGTATAGTTCTCCGGCGAGCCGGTCGCCGGATTCCGGCGACCTCACATCCGACCTCGAGAGGCTCTCCACTGTAAACGAGTCGCCGGATTCCGGTGACCACGAGAAGTGGCTTTTCTTTGACGGGGAAAACCCGGTTATTGCCCCCATTTTCTCTTCCGGGCTGATTATTGTCTCAGACGATTTTCCTTTTCTCGATGTCATGATGATGTCATCGCCTTGTCCGGCCAAGGTAGAAGGATTTGCCGAAGCCTGTCGAGTGACATTCTTGTTCGTTTGCGGTAAAGGCTTTTGTTGTCTCGATATCTTCTTGTAACGAATGAAAAAAATGGCGAGAAGGATCAAAATGATCAAAGCAGCCAAACAAGAAACTATTATTATCACCACTTTTATAATAGTCTGCAAGTGCTTTCTTGAATTACTTGTCGTGCCACGGCTAGAACCGGGAGGAGGATTTGGGAATTGCAGGTGAGAATTTCCAGGGTAGAAAGACGAAAGAGGGAATTTTCTTAGATTTTCAGGGACAACACCGGAAAAATCATTATATGACGCGTTGAAGCTCTGAAGGCTGTTGGGCAAATTAACCGGCAGTTGGCCGGTAAAATTGTTTCGGCAAATGTCGAGTGAATATAAAGTAGTGATGTTGTTACCAATCGAAGTAGGTAAAGAACCGAAGAATTTGTTACCACTTATATTTAGCACACGAAGTTCGATAAACGATCCGAGCCCATCGGGAAGTTCGCTGTTAAACTGATTGTTCGAAAGATCAAGAACGTGAAGATTCGAGTCATTGGAAAGAGGCGAAAAATCTATGCTTCCAGAGAGTAAATTGTTCTGTAAGTGAAGTTCGTTTAGAGTGGATGAAGTCAAAAGGGCGCTCGAAATCGGTCCATCCAACTGGTTGAAGCTGAGATCGAGCGTCGTTAGTTTTGGAAAAAGCGTCGTGACTTTCGGAAGAGAGCCGTTGAGGGAATTACGAGAGAGGTTGAGGTAATTCAAACGCAAGAATATTTGAGAAGTTGCTTCGGGGATGGGGCCCGCCATATGGTTCTGACTTAGATCGATGAACTCCACATTTTCCCATTTTAGCAGCCTCGTTAAATTTCCTCCGAATTGGTTTTTTGAAAGATCGATTACGGCACAGCTTCCAGTCAATAGCGGGACTTCACCCGAAAGCATGTTGGATGAGAGATTAAGGGTGTGTAGTGTTGTGGACGTTATTATGCTAATTGGCCCTGACAAGTAAAAAAGTTCAAGGGTTAGTAGAAAGTCACTTGAAAAAGATCAATGCTTTTCATAAAAGAGAATAGCTAAGAAAACTGCTTCATGCTTTAGTAATAATAATAATAAGAGTAATGCTATTTAGCCAACTTGGATGACAACTTGGGTTACAACCCAAGTGTAAATGCATTTTAGATTTTTCAAATTACAAGTACCTCCTAAGAGAGATTGAGCAATTTGTGTGAGAGAATTAAGTGTCAGCAAGTCATATGTAACTATAAAAGATAACTAGATCTTTTTGCAGTCAAGTTAAACTTCAGGAATACACATTGCAATTATCCAAATAATTCTAAAACAGTAAATTATTCACTACACTCCATAGCTAAAGAATGATTGAAAATGCAAATATCAGATTTGAAAGCAAATGCACCTATCAGGTTGTTCCCATTTAAAAGATCAATGCTTTCATAAGACAATATATAAGAAAACTGCTTCATGCTATCAAAAGTTTGCCAACGTAATTGACTTGTTGTGTCGTAATAATAACAATAATAGATATACATCAACACATTTTAACTTTTTTTCAAAATTACAAATGCCTCCTAAGAGAGATTTGCGCAATTTGTGTGAGATAATTAAAAGTCAGGCTATCAGCAGTCATTTGTAACAACAATATAAGATAACTAGGTCCTTTTGTAGTCAAGTTAAACCTCATAATACACATTGCAATTATCAAAATAATTCTAAAACAGTCAATTATTCACTACACTCCATAGCTAAAGAATGGTTGAAAGTGCAAATATCAAATTTGAAAGAAAATGTACCTGACAGATTATTCCCACTTAAATCGAGCTCAGTTAGCATCAGCGAATCTCCTTTCAAAAGATTGTTTGGTACAGAGCCAGAAAACCTGTTATTACCGAGCCTCAACACCTGAAGATCATAAACAAAACTGAAACTGGGCAAATCCCCCGAAAGTTGATTGTAGCTCAAATCCAAAACTTTCAAGCTCCCAAACTCCTGAGCCTCGCCACCACCCACAAGAGAACCCGTTAATCGGTTATGGCTAAGATTCAAGTGCTTCACAGATGGAGATAAACCCACCAAAAACGAGTGCCGTTTGTCAGAAGATGAACTCACGAAAAAATTCCCACTAAAATCAATATGACCTGCCGAAGTAAGTAGAAAAAATTCCGGATCGAGTTCACCGTCTAACTTATTTCCATGCAGATCAAGCACATCGAGTTGAGTCATCAGCTCAAACCCTTTAAGCACACTTCTATTAAACCCGTTTAGAGATAAATTAAGATAAACCAAGTTCACTAACTTCGTCAAGGATAATGGCAAAGGGCCAGAAAGGGAATTTCGACTCATGTCCAAAGATCGAATTGAAGCAAGTCCAGAAATTTCATCCGGGATTGAACCCGAAAAATTATTTCCAGCCAACGAGAGGTTTTTCAAACCGGGCATTTTACCAATCTCAGCTGGCAAGGACGAATAAAACAGATTATTGGAAATATCAAAATACTCGAGGCTCTTAAATTCGCCGAGATTGCGAGGCAGCTGGCCAGAAATCGAATTATTCGCAATTGAAAGCTTCACGAGCATAGTGAGATTTGAGAACACGCTCAAATCTGCATTATCTGCGGATAATCCTAAGTTATCCAGAACAACAGCCGCAACATTACCACCATTACACATAATCCCATTCCAAGAAGAAGGGCACCCATTGAAATCGATTGACTCGTCATTCCATGAATTAAGAACATAACCAGTCGGGTCGTGTTTAATTCCTTTCTTGAACTCTAGAAGTGCTAATATATCTTGGGAAGGAAGCTGGCCAAATGAGTGAACAAAACAAAGACACACCAAAAGAAGCAGAAAAAACCTCATTCTGTTCTCTAAAACCCTAAGTACTAATTCTACAATTCAAGAATCAACTACAGGTAACACAATCCCAGCTGGATTTTTTCAGGAAAATGTACAAATGATAAACAACAACACTCGAGAGACGTAAGTGAGGCGAAATGAGGGTTAGCTACTAAGTGAAAAAGAAGAACACAAGCACTTTACAAGAAAAATCATTCCCTTAAGCTCCCGCAATCTTAAAACTTAAAAGGATGACCTTCAGAGTTCAGACAGAAATGTTCAAATGTAACACTTTTACAAATCAGAAAACCCATTGTAAGTGAAAGCAGCTGAAAACATCTAAAAGAGGCTAAAATTTCAAATCTAGTTGAGAATACAACAATGTACTGGAACCTGACTCTGTTTTAGAACCAAATGCGAGCACCGACAAACGGACGAGTAAACCACAAGGGCTCCTCAAATCTGCATTGTGAAATCCACATAGAAGACAATGAAAATGACCAACCTAGAAAAGCTTCGGCCTTTTCAAAACCCTAACAATGGTGGAGAAAAGGAAGCTTTTTTATTTCACTTTTACTAGTAATTAAAAAAAAATGAAATCCCCCCTCTTTCTAAATCTTGAGAGTTGAGTGAGTGTGAGTGAGACCCATATGTGGTGTGTGAGACTGTGAGGGAGTATTGGAACACCAAAAAAGGCACTGCCTCTTTTGTCTCTTGTTAATTGTTTTTCCTTTTTTCTTTTTCCCAATTACAAAATGAAAAGGAAAATAAAAAAAATTGTGTACTCCACTCCACATTCTCCACTTAACAATGTCCAGTTAAATTCTTTGAAATTAATGGAAATAATTTACTAACTAAAATTAGAGACAAGAATGCAGTTAAGCTTTAATTACAGGTGCCATTATGAAAAATCCTCGGATGCTGCAAAATGGAGCAGAAAAAGGAAAAGAGAGAAATTGTTCGCGGTTAAATGTGGGATTGTGCCCGCCAAAAGGCAAGAGAATCTTGTTGGACGTGAAGCCAAATCATTAAATCTAGTTTTTAAGATTAGTTGAGATCCTCTTGTATGGAAACTGGTGCTGTTAATAGTGAAATGAAATAACAGATCAGCTTTTTTTTTTGTTGGGGAGTGGGGTCTGCTCCGTCACTGACCCTTTTGACTCTGCATTTAATCCATAGTAGTTTTATAATTTTTTACATATTAATTTATAAATTATTTATGCAAAGTGTTTAATATTGGATAGTTTTCATATGTAAAAAAACTATAGTCTTCTATTTCAAAAAAGTCTTTATATTAAGCTTTCCTATTTATTTTTTGTCTAAAAGATTATTTTGAATCAATGTTTTCCAAATAATTAAATTAAAATTTCAGACTAGTGAAGATTCTTCATTTAAACTTTTAATTTAACATTGGATTGAAAAAACAACTATGTCTCCTCTTAAATAATATGAAGATATCAAAATCATGCCTAATTTGCGTAGATATCTTTGGAGATCAACCTACTTGTTGCACAAAAAGGATGATAATTTAGGTTTTACTCTTAATTAGCAAGTACATATTTAGGCTTGAAAAAATAAAAGAACAAAAAAAAGGATACACAATCAAAATTGAAGCCCTAATAATGCTTAAAGAGAGATGTGCTCATTTTTATGTACACATTTTGTATCATTAAAATTATATAAAGTGATTTTATTTTTTGTGTACAATGTTCAATATTGGGAACCCAAGGAATAATTGATGAGCAAAGATCACAAAATTCACAAGTATAATTACATGGTACCACTTTACAACCACTACGTACAACAGGTTCTCTATAATTAGATTAGATCTTGGGATGCATGGGCATTGGGCAGCATTATTATGGCATGGCATGATATTTTTATTTTTATTTTTTCACTCAAGATAATATTATTTTTTTCAGAAATGATACTCTTATTATGAAATATCTTAAACTAATTAAAAAAGTGAAAGTTAATTGTGTTTTAGTCTGATTCATCTACCCTTAAGATCAAAAGCAATAATCAAATCAATTTTGACCTTTTGTAGTAAACTTTCTAAGTAACTAAAGTTTGTCAACTCAAACTTTGCATCCATGTGATGCTCTACAATATCACAAAAACTCAAAATATATCTTTTATAATATCCTCACAACAAATAAAACAATGAAAGTAGAGCAGTCAGCCAGTCACATTCTCCCACATGCAATGTTTTTTTTTTTTTAAAAGGAAGTAAATAAAGATAAATCCAAAAAGAAAAGTAAATTAAATCCATCTGAGTCATACTGAAAAACTCACGTTGGGCTCCAATGCGAAGATCCATAAAATACAAAAAATAAAGTATCTTTTACAATGATTAAGTTGTTTTGTTATTTTTTTGGAAAAAAACGAAAAGAATGTTTACTTGGCAGTAAAGATTAATGATATTATATCAGGGATATATTTATGTAAAATCACAAATCACTGGCTCCTAAACATTATTGGATATTGGTTGAGCATAAAAGAAAAGATTCCTGATATTCGAGATGGCCGTGAAATTGGGCCTTGGACGAGTGACTGCAGCGAGGACGAAGTTGGGCTTCAATACAGATGAGAGAAAAGTGGGCCAACTTACCATGCCTTCGATTATTTTTGAAAGAATTACCTGGCAGACGGTGCCCGATAAGTTTTTTTTCTTACATACGATATAATTTTTTCCATTATCAGTTAACACTTTCTCTTTCCACTTATACGATTTTCCAACGCCTAAAGCAACCAAACAGATCTCCTTCCTCTTCATTTTTGAGCCATCAGAATCGCCGCCTGCATCGTCCGCCGAGATAAACGTCACGCTGTCTTCGAGAACTTCTCCCTCTCCGGCTCACTTCTCCCGCCGCCTGCACGTCCGCCGCTCGAGATGTGGGTTAGTGATTTAGGGTTTAGCGAATTTTAAATTCCCTTTTTTGTTGTGAGGTTTCATTAATTTACATTAGATCTATAAGTTGTTGGACTTAAGATTTGAAAATTTGAAAATAGAATTTCAGCACCACCTTCGCATTAAGATATTTTTGGGTTTAACATCACATTTTTCTTACTGTACATTTTTTTTTCAGATTTAATATAACTTAATCCGGAAAAAAGTTCCAGCGGCACCTTCCTCCCCCTCCGGCAGCGGCACCTTCGAATCGGCAGTGGATGAGTGTGCGGGCGATGAAGGAGGCACGTGGAAAACGTGACCGCCGCAAATTGTGCCTAATTGGATTGGGTGCCATGGTATGTTCGAGTGCTCTTGTTGGATCACTCTTGAATAATTTTTTAAAAAAGTTCTTTGAAAGTAGATTGTCATAGTTAATTCGATGTTTATCTTGAGTTGATTTTTTAGTTAACTAAAATATGAAGCATGTGTGAGTTTTGTGTTGTTAATTTAGAGTCCACATATTCCTGATTTATGAACATGCTTGTGTGCTACTGCACGCGTGGGTTCCTCAACATGCTTAGGCTTTTAAGATAGATTATTTTAGCATTTTCCATACACATCATGCTGTTATTTTCTGAAATTGCAAAGTGAATTTAGGTGTGTGTTATTGCAACTCCTGATGTTCATTCGTTTGACCTTACTGAGAGAGATCACTTTATAATTATTGCCTGTGATGGGTTGTGGGGGGTATATCTTCTGCTTATTGTTTCGCAATTTAGTATTTTAAAATATCTCTATTTTTTTCGCTCCGTCTTACTAAAGGTCGATCTGATTATCCGTCGAACTTTAGGTGTTTGGACCAAGTGATGTAGTTGACATTGTTTAAAAGCTGTTGAAGCTTCGTTTATGTTTTCTGCACTCTCTGTGTTTTTTACTTTCTGCTAAGCCTCATCCTCCAAACCCCAGCACATCAGCAAGAATTCGCCTCGATTTGTGGCGAAGTTGATTGCAAAGGTCGAGATAACAAGAGCTTGAGTTGGTGTTATCAATGAGGAGAAAACAAGCGTTGAGTCAAGGCGAAGAGAGGTGAAAATGGGGATTTGAAGGTCAGCAAAAAGTGATGGGCTGCGTTTCCTATTCTTTCGATGGCTCTGATTCCCCTTTTTTCTAATTTACATATGTTAATTTTTAGAAAAATATTAAAGTAGTTTTTTCAATGTTACTTCGAGGTTTATTTGATGTTTATCAATGTTTTGAGCTTGAATAATTTGTAGAAGTTTTTTATAAAGTAATTTTTTGAGTATTAATTGATCTATGATTTCATTATGTTTATCAATACTCTGTGTTCTGAAAATAAAATATATATAAATTTACATTTTTGTGTGTAAAAAAGTATTAATTTTATAACTACAATAAACTGAAAATAAACCATATATAAACTGAAAATAATAAATTGAAAATTTTTCTTGTATAATAAACTGATTTTTTCTTATATAATAAATTGAAAATAAACTAGTTTAACTAGTTTATTATAATAAACTAAAAATAAACCATATATAAACTGAAAATAAACTGAAAATAAACCATATGTAATTTTTTTTTCCTCTTATCTGTATTATTTAACTAGTTAGGTATGTTACATGTTTATGTTTGGTATATTCCATGTTTATGTCCATTTATGGAATCTCTAAACTATATTGTAATTCTAAAAAAAATTGATGGTTATATTATGAATAACTGATTTTTTTGTAGTCAATGTTTGAATTAATTAACAATATTTTAGTTTGTTTTTTGTTGTTCTTGAATTACTTAGTAGTATTTTTCATGATTGCCGCTATCAGTTTCTCATGTTCCATCTAATGTTTACTTTTTGTATTTTCTGAGTTTCACTTTGGATAATTTTAACAATATTTTAACTAATAAACTACATATAAATATAACATAAATATGGAAATAAGAATATAGGAACCCACCAGTTGAAGTCAAGCTAATTTCTAATTAAAAAACCAATAACAATATTTCATGCCAATTGCGCGAGCCGATTTCGGGAAAAATGAATAATGATTGCACCGCGACTTTCCCTTCCAGTTGTTGAATCGAACTTTGTCTAGTATATCTAATGTGGCCGTAAATGTGGGTTTAAAACTTTGATCTCGTTTATGTGGCATGGCTGTGGTTATGACACGTCGATGTGTCTTTCTGCCATTATTTTTGGGGTGAACTAATTTTAAATTGGGCCAGCCTTACTAATTTTCTATGAACATTTTTAATGTTATGACTCTACAGGTTGTTTATATTTAGTAAAACTAGCTGATAAGCTAGCTTATAGTTTATAAGTAATTTTTGGGCTTATAACTTATATCTTATAGTTGAAAAACTAACTTATATGATAAAATTATTTGATAAAATTAGCTGATAAACTAGTTGAAATAAAAATTTCAACTAACTTATTTACAAAGCTATCAAACAAAGCTTATGAGATAAACTCGAGCTTTTTAAAAAAAGTTCGTCCTACCATGATGCTTATTTGAATACAAAAACCAGTTCAATGAAAAAATATCGAATCTCTATTTGTGTATAAAATAAATTTAATAATAGATCGAGTGTTTTTTCTTTTTGCCACTTCAGCTAAATCCAATCCAATTTCTATTTTCATTAGAAAACAATTTTCTACCCCGAATCTATTTCCTAAATGACATTTAATATTTATGAAAAGAGCCAAAAAAAAAAAGAAAAAGAAAAAAGCTCGCAATGATTCATGAGAAAAATATTGTTCCTTTTTACTTTCGTTTATTTTGGGGTGGTCTCTTTTTTCCTTCGTTTTTAGTTCCAACCGAAGGAATAGTACTCACATGCAGCTATGCTAAACAAAAGAGAAAATGCCAAATGGAATATTGGCTGTGAAAGGCAACAAAACTTTTTAAACGACCACGCTAAATTATACCCTCCTTATAACCATAATCTTTCAATGCCTCTAACGCTCAATGGTCTCGTATTCACAATATATCCTTTTATTCCGAGTATCACGTTGGTAATATATTATAAATAAGCTTATCTTTTTTTAGAAATTTTTGTGTATTTAACTTACCCTTTTTAATATTTTTAAAACTCTCAAGGTATTCAAATTCTAAGGTATGTAACTTTTTTGAGATGAAGTTCGTGAATACCTTTTAAAATCTCACTTTCAAAAAACTTCATAATATTTCTCTTAAGTCTAAAAAAATGGGCTAATGTGGTGTGCAAAATAGAAGATAAAGGGATGGCAAGAGCACTGGCTGCAAATTCTGATTTTCCATCCATGTATAATGCTATTGTTGAGGACATTTATTTTCTTGCAGGTTGCCTTAAGCCTGTCTCTTTTGTAGTGGACAATTGTGTTGTTTCGATTGTATGGTCTAAGGCCAATTTGGTAGAAGAGGGAGACATCAATATGTGATGCACCTCCCCTTTTCCTTCCTATGTAATTAACCCGTTGGTTAATCGAACAATGTACCTCTTTGAGTTAGTTTAATATATATATTTGATGTTTGAAAAAAAAAAAAAGTCTAAAAATCTCAAAAGGTCTAAAAATATTACTTAAAAACTAAATCTAAAACCAATACACCACCCTTAATCTGTCTCTTAAAACTTTAAACTCAAAAGAGGGCTAATTAAATTAAGGATGAGACTAACTAATTTATTAACTGTTCACCTAATGACCCAAGTTACCATTTCCCCCAAAACTGCAGTACAACATACTCAGAACAGTGTACAACTACTCTATCCGACAAGAATTCACGAGTTAACGTCCTATTATCCACAATTTTCCCTAAAAAAAACAAAAAGCATAAAATCAAATAACAGTCTCAGTCCATCACTCATTTCACATCAAAACTCATATCCCCAAAGGAAAACTCCATAATCGAATCAATTAATTAACCCCAAAAATTCGACCTAAAAATGGGACGACACGATCAACTGCTTCAATACGTCGTCGTCTCGCTCGTCGCCCTGGCGGCCGTCCTCGGCCGGGACCTCCGCCCCTCCGACCACGGCCTGGCCTACCAGGAAGCCTCGCCGTTGCCGCCGCCGGAAGACGGCGACGAGCGGGAAATGCGGTCGTTCTTCGGCGGGACGGCGTCTCCGTCCGTCGAGCTGCCGGAGGCGAAGAACATCAGCGACACGTGGTGGAGCGAACGCGGCGGATCCGGTGCCGGCGCAGCGCGGGACGCCGGGAGGGACCGCGTGCGGCTGGGCCTGGTCGTGGCGAGTGGGGTCTGCGGGCTGACCGGCGTTTTGCTGATGGTGGTCTCCGGCGTGGTTTTCATGTCCCGGCTCCACAAGAAGAAGGTGAAGGCGGCCGGAGAACTGTCCACGTCAGCAGCGGGGAATAGTGGTTAGTGGTTGGGTTCTTAATTAATTAATTAATTAATTGTAACGGGGAGGGAGGTGTTCAATTTTGGTGGCCCTACTATTGTTTAGTGTACAATTAATTGTTGAATTATATGGCGTTATGGTTATATTGGTTGAATCTGGTCTAGCTTAAATAAGTGATAGTAACTTATTGCTAATTTTTAAGTGAATTTCGAGAATAAATATGCAATTATAAATACTAAAAAACTAATTGATATAACAATAGAATCGAGTAAAATTAGTTGATAAGTAGATGGAATAATATTTTTTTTTGTTTAAAATCTATCTAAAGAATTTGATGATATAAACTTTAGCTTATTAAAACGTTCATCGTCATTCTACCAAATTAAATTTATGTGAATATAAGAAATTTATAAAATAATTAAATAAGATATAATCTAACTACGAACTCACACAAAATCTCCATATTCTAATACTCCAACCAAGTACCAATTGGATTATTTTTCCTTTTCACTATTAATGTTGTCATATATATTATTGAATTTGGTTCTGTAAGTTAAGTTTGTTGGGTTGTTTCAAGTTCTGAAGAGTGGCATTGTCGTCTGAATTCGACTCTGTAATAAACTGCATATGTAATATGTTTAACGTATGAACTATGAAGTCCTTTTAACATCTCTTCATCAACCTCAGACAACTCTACCATAAATAACGTATGAGGATGAGGGTGGTCT